CAGCACTGGAAAGCAACACCAAGGCTAACTCTGCTTTCACTTCTGCTTTGAGAGTTGCTTTTGTTTGAGAGACGTGCTAATGGCATGTCTAAGAAGAGCTTAGGTTGGACCTTTTTTTCTTTTCGTTGGAAGACTAGCTGACTCGTCTTTATGTGGAAAACTCACCGGTTCAGCAAGTTGACTGCAGATGTTTTATTGCCGCTAATTGTTCCAAATTGTTTTGAAACGATGAATAATGGAGAACACTTGGCAGCAGATCGTAGTACGTTCCTTTTCTAGATTTATTTTTGTTTTCTTACTCTATTTTGAGCCAAAATGACAACAGAATGATGCTCCGCACGCTCTGTTGGGGTCTATTATAGTTCAAGTTGCCAGTGTGTCGATTCTTTACATCATAGCTAAACATTAATTTAGAATAATATTCTCATTAATGCCTTGACCTGTGACTCACAATAAGCACTTAGAGTCTTGAATAACACTTTGAACAACTGTTTACCAGCTGAATTGATCGATTTACAAAGTCATCAACATCTTAACATGTCACTTTTGGCATTATCTTTAACTTAAAAACTCAAATCTTGATTGTGGATTGTAACAGGATTAAACCGTTTTGAGTTGTTAATGGCCGACTAGAACTGTTCTGTCTGCTTTTTGTGATCTTGGTCTTGCTTTAGAGTGTGAATCAATGTTTCAGAGAAACGCCTTCAAGGTTCTCCACAGAGCCAAAGCTTTGGTTCTCACAAGCTGATCGTAGAAGCAACAATCAAACTTCTTTAGTTTGTTTTTTTAGGTTGGTTTAAGTCAACAAGGCCTTTATATTGATGAAGATTTATTAGTTCTACTGGCAGATTATTTCACCTGGAACATGGGAAAAATGTCTTTTAGGTGAAACAATCTGCCAGTGGAACCAATACTTTTTAAAGTCAATATTAAGGAATTTACTTGAAACAAGTTCTTATGTCATGCTGAAAAGTTAAGCTTGTTTTTGTCTTATTTCAGTTGTAGATATTCGATCTAGAAATTAGGCCAAAAATACTTGGTAACATTTGGTGTTTTTTGAAGTGTTTTGTTGTGATTTTCATGTGTTCAAACTGTCGATGTAAACACTTCACATTTGATAATGGTCCGCACCTAGAAGTATAAAAAAACTTTATATCCCAACGCCAGAACACGATCATCCTCAGGTGGAGGGTTAGGGTTTGAGCCCAACCTGTCCTAACTTTTTAGCTTTGCTTGCTTCATTTATATAAAATGCAGTTCTACACTGGAGTGTGTCATGATCTGGTGGTTTGGTGGTGAGGTAGGACGCAGGCAGACCCAGGTTGAAGTGATGAATAATGGTTTTAATGATGAAATAATCCAAAAGAACAGAATCCAAACAGGTTGCACAGGGAGCAACGGGGAAGACAGAGATGCACACACGACGAGGATCCGACAAGAGACAAAGACAACAGGTGGGACTAAATACACTGGGAGGGTAATCACAGAAACGAAACACAGCTGGGAACAATCAACAAGGACGACTGAGACTCACAGGGGAACAGGCTAATAAACACAGAAAAACCTCAGAATAATTACACAGAAAACATAGATCACCACAGAGTGGGAAGATTCTCCACTTAGTTCAAAGTAGTACTGAGGTTTGTGAAAAGAAAGAGCAGCTGTGATTGTGATTTGTGACTCAATCAAAATCTACAGCAATGATTAGAGAGTTGGCTCCCATTCTGGCCTCATATTTGTAGATACATGTTCATCATAGTGGAAAACGCTCACATGGACGTTCATGTGAGCACTCTAACACATAGTGACCCCAGGACAAACGATGGGTGGGGTGTCTGAGACACGTGGAGCCTCAACACCCCGACAGCCAACGGCACAGAGACCAAACTACCAGTCCAGCCCATACAAACCCACCATCACCACACGACAACACTATTGTGGCCGAGGCGGAGTGTGTTTGTGTGTGTGCGGGCGTTCACTCGGGCGGGGCCGGTCATCTGGGTTTCCTCCAGAGAGCGAAACAAATGGTTTTAGGGAGATTCACTTCCCCATCGGGACAGACGGATAATATTGACAAAGTCTGTCACAATAAGAAGCAGACCGAGCCAGAAATGTGCAAACTGCTGGGCAGAGAATGGAAATCTCTCGGCACACTAAATCTAATTTCGGCTAGTGTGATTTTTGTTTTTTCTCTTTTTGTTCTTTTTAATCATCTAAACAAATTCAACTTGAAATGCATCATTCAGACTCACATCATGGACAAACTCCCATCCAGATCACTGTTTTTACAAATACTTTATCTCTGCTGATACCTGGACTCCTCAAACAATAAATCTTCTTCATATGTTTGTTTATTTTTTTTAAATCATTTTTGTTGAATTTCATGGGCCAAATAAGTGCTGGTTAATCCTTTAGGATTTATTGGTTCTTTAAAGCTCCATAACGCCCCATAAATGGGATTTGGGGATTTTCTTTAAAACCTCAGGGAACGCAGAATGCCAGAAGGATGAAACTAGCATAATATCTTTTAGCTTTTCCAGTGAAGCAATTTATTAACTTACTGTTCTTAACTTTGTTTTTATTCAGCAGAGTGCTTTGACCTTTACTGGGCTTATGCAGACAGCTTTGGACCAACCTCAAGGGAATGAATCAAATTTGTTTAAAGAGAGCTGAGTAATCATAAGCCAGTATCTTTCTGGAAAGTAGCAGAAGTGGTAAAACCAGGGGAACTTTTCTTTAAGTGAATTGCAGTCAGTTGGCTTTATGTTTTTGCGTTGACAATATTGCTAAATCAAGACTTGACCAACAGACGTAAACAGTGGACACTATCTGCTTCCATCCATCCATCCATCCATCCATCCATCCATCCATCCATCCGTCCGTCCGTCCGTCCACCCGTCCGTCCGTCCGTCCGTCCGTCTGTCCATCCCTGGTTAATGGTTTTGTTATGGTGACACAGCTGTTCAGTCCCAGTCCCTCAAATTCCCATCACATTTTTAATACTGTATTGGACTGACCTTCACCTGCTTTTTAAAACTTGGTCTAACAAAACACTCCTCATGGCTTGGTGGGAGTTTAAAACAGGCGGCTCACCAACAATATACTGTGAGTTTAATCAGTTACTTTACTAATCATTTAAAAATCTCTGGGCTAGGACATCCCCAGTACCCTGGGAAAAAAAACAGAAACATACCTTTAACAATATGATTTTTGGGAAAAAGATCCCAGGGTGAATGTCAGCTGCAGGAGCTCTTGTGAGTGGAATTCGCCTGGTTTTCCTATCCATGTGTTTTCCTCTCACACTCCAAAAATATGCTGTTAACTGGCTTCCTGTGAGTCTATTTTGATGCCTTTGACCCTGAACAAGACAAAGCAGGGTACATTTGTTACAAATGTCTATTCATTCATTTGCCTTACTGTTCTTGCTGTGAACTAGCTAAGAGGTGGGGTACACTCTGGACCGATCACAAGTCCACCATGCATCAACTCACACTTACACCAGACTAACAATCAGTTCACATGGCAAGATTTTAAAATTCTCAACCAGCTGTCAAAACCTCAGAGACCCCACACTCTGAATAGATTTGGTCCTATAGTGTGTGGTGACCAGCCACACATGAACGCATTTCCCTCATCAACATTCAAAATCTCAAAACAGAGAAATCTCACAAAACCTCTTCAGACAAACATGAGTAAACAAACATGGCAGCAGTTTGTGGACTATGTATCTTTTTTTTCTGATGAACAAAGACGTAGCCAACATCCTCCAGGATTCCGGTTTGCCGTTGCAGTCGCTTTGCCTTTGCCTTCGCCTTCGATGTATTTTGAATTTCCATCGCCTCACTTTCTGATTGTGGATCAAAAAGCTCAACCAAACAAGAACGGAACAGGCTGCGCTCTCATTTGTCTCCAAAATGAGTCTGTGCCTAATGGCCTAAGCGACATACAAATACCTTTAACAGTATGATTTTTGGGATAAAGATCCCAGGGTGAAATTCAACTGCAGAAGCCCTTGTGAGGTCGGGAACAACACACACCCAGTTATATCAAGCCAACATTATCCAATTCATTTTTTTAGATCAGAGTGGTCCTGAAGTCCTTCGGAGCAGACCGGATCACTCTTAGTACCCACCACACACAACAGGAATATCTAATCGGGGCATCCTTAAGTTTGTTGGACAGAAGAAATCACTAAAAATCATCATTATAAAAATCTTGCCGTGTGAACCAGGCATAAAAGACACAAGTTACCCTAACAAGCATGTTTTATTCAAAGAAAGGGAGAACCGTGAAGTCTTCACTCAAAGTACAATGAGGCCCAAGCCAAGATTAAAAGTCCTGGATATTGTTTCTAACAACTGCTTGTCCTGGCAGGTGAAACATCTGTGATAGGTGAGAAGTTGAATGGGTGTACAGATATCGCAAAACTCTGTTTACCTCAAGAACCTTATGTAATCGCTCCCCACTATCATAGGGTTAACTTCACAAAAAAATGTGAACGCAAACACATAGTGGTGAGCAAGAAAGTTGTGTTCCCCCATGTCGACCTCTGTGCACATAACCATCCGTATGTTGATCGGCTAAAGCTGTGCCAAGCTGCTGTGACCTCTCTGAAAAGCGTGTGTACTCATCTTCTCGGGCGAGTGTAAAATGTATGAAGACCCGCCGAGCTGTTGACACAAAACACCATGGTGCGACCCCGGAGGGTGCCACCGACCCTGAGTGGCTGCCAGCTACCAGCTCATTAAGCTACCGGCGTGGGGGAACGTCGTGCCAAAAGACACTCTCTCCATTTGGTTCACAACACCGTGAACACAATCACACACACTTGTCAGAGGAACACCACAGGGGTGGCAGGCGGCCATGTTCGCATGCCCACCATGTGCATGTGCAACCACTCTCGTAAACCATCATAATGCTTTGGGAGCATAACATTTGTGTGGCCTCTGTGACCTGGCTGAACTTTGGCTCACCCTCATTGGTTCATCAGACCACAAAACCTCACACCTACTCTACAGACAACCGGACCAGATCGGGGGGTGGGTTATGATTTATTGGAGGAGAGGCCTATAAGGAAGAGAAATCTGTAAGAAGCTGCAAAGATGCACAAAAAATTGTGTTTAAAAAAAATACAGCAAATAACAAAATCACAAGGTGATAGCAGTTTTGTTCCAATATCTTTTCAACAAGACAAGATGTTCTTCAAACCGTCCTGTGAGTACAGGAGTCTTATCAGCTGAAGTTGTCAGATTTGTCACGCAGGGGCTTAAACCGAACCTCGAGTCAAGAACAATAACCTCTGCACGTGATGCTGAGCCTGCTGAACCACTAAACCAGTTGGCACCCACTTATTTGTTCAATTATTACTTTATGTCTTTTGTCTTCCTGTACAATGCTTTTTGATAGTGTGAAACATGGATTATATTTACATTTCTTTGTCCCACTAATATGTGATCCTCAGTCTTTGATCCTTCATGGTTTAGTCAGTCCTTGCTGGATTCATCTGCTGCTCACCATCCAGGTGTTGTTGTCTTTTATTCCTTGAGGGATTTTAGGTGCAGGATGCATATTTTTTATTTTGATATTAAAGTTTTCCGCTTCAATATCTCCTGCCTGCATTCATCCATCTATACATTATCTTCCACCAGAACTTTCTACTCCCCAGTGAGGACATGTCTGGGTCAAGGACACATCCTAACCAGATGCCCAAGTCAGCTGGGTCCTCTCAATGCAGATGACGTATCAATATTTTTTTATCAATCTTCTGTTTCCTCCCTTGTTTGCAAACTTGGGGCAGGACTTGTCATCAAACTGGAGAAGGAACTTTAACCTTTTCCAGCTCAAGACCTTAGTCCCAGATTTGGAGGTGTTTATTTAGGTCCTGACCTCTTCACATTTGGCTGCGGATGACTGCAGATCACAAGCTGATGAAGCTGACAAAACACTGTGATCTGTGAAAGGCAGAGACACAATCCTGAGCCCTCCAGAATGAATCCCTCTACACCTCGACTGTGCATAGAAATTCTGACCCTACAGATTATTAACAGCTTCCATGTCAAAGGGCCGCTTGGCAAAGTCCAAGTCTCACCATAACATGCATGCCTGACTTACAGCCTGCAAAGCAAACCAAACTCTGAAACTAGTCATACACAGGAACCTAAAGGCGCGTATCAAGGGGCTTGGTGCTCCAGAATCACCTCTCACCGAATTTCCAGAGGGACAAAGTCAAACATCTTTTCCAAGTCCGCAAAACACATTTAAACTGGTTGGGCAAACTCCCATGCACCTCCAGTACCCTACATCCTACTGGCAGTGTTTACATGCTAGTCTCTATATGTGCTAGTGATAGCCCTGATGATAATGTTTGCCTTACAGCTAAAATAAGCATTTTAGCTTATTTTTGATATGTTATCTACATCTAGCATTGTAAATGGAGTGAGTCAATGTAGGCCCACATGCTAGTAATGCCCCAGAGAATTTAAGCTAACCTTATAATTTTAGCTAATTTTAGTTTACACACTAATGCATACTGAGTTGAGTAAGTCACTGGTAGTCAAACATGCTAGAGATGCCCCACATGCTACTGGCAGAACGTAAGCTAACTTTTGCATTTTTTGCTCATTTTCAGCATTAGATCACCTGATATGGGTCCCACCAATACACACATGTTGGTAGACCCCTTTCTTCAGAAAATTTCTAGTTTAAAAATATTTTCTAAGAGCAGAACAGGCTAGTAAAACTAGCTCATGTGAGAAACGCTTAACTATTGCTTCTAAAATAATTACCCCTGCCCCCATCTTTTCTAGTTGTGTGTGGATTTGGTCTCTCTCATCATTCCTGTCATGTTCCCTCTCAGGACTCTTAGTATGCTCTCACCCTTTCTGCCATTCATCACGTTGTCATTCCTGAGCCGACAGCCTCCCTCCCTTGTCCTTCTTTCAAACATTCGATACTCCTCTGTTGACATGTCTGTCCATCAGTACCTATAGCAACCAGAAACTCTGCTGACCGCTGCTTTGCTTCGTGTGACGGTGCTACATGACTTGCAGTCATAGAGCAAAGATTAGCAGGTGATTCTAATGTGCAACGGGCAGCTTAACACGCGCACACAAACTGCATGGTGATGTGCATGGCTTTTCTTCAGCTGCCCAAACACCCACCAAAGATATCACTGCAATTTTTCTTGATCATTTTTTATTATAATTTTTTATGAAAAATAACATTCATTACAGTACAACCAAATATTACATGTCTGTGGCAATAATTACACTTGAGAACCAAACGACTTCATATCCTCCTCTTCAATAAGTTAAGAAATACTTTTTTTTTCTCTTTCACCAGGAAATAATTTTCTTAATAGCTTTTTTTTTCTTACAATGTAGCAGTTTTCTATATAACTGATTCACAACAGTCTCTAAAAGCCATGTCTTTAAGACTTGTGGATATCTATAGCATTTTGTTAAAGCAGGCATTTAGTTGTTGTTCTGTTTATTGTGTTAGACAGCAGTAATGATTGAGCAGGTTACTGATATTTTCCTGTACAATTAGCTACAGTACATAGTAGACTCTAAAGTCGGCGTAGTATGATCAGTGTGTTACTACTCCAGTGTTACATTATGTTAGACTCAAACATTTCAGGATAACAGTATTTTTTTTCTGGCACTGAGGCCAAGGCTGTAGGCTACAGTTTCCAGTCTTCCCAGTGTAGAAATCCAGTTCTCCTGGTCAGTTCACTTTTTTCTTTTTATTTCAAACTTCACTTTTAGCCCCAAATCAGCAATTCAGTATCCATCTTGGCTAAATGAAGCAACTTGTTGAAAGTAGCCAGTCAATGGCTGCCTCTTGTCCTGGTTCCTGAAGCGCTGTACAGATAAATCCTCATTTAGTTCATCCATTTGTGCTTTTCAGATGACACAAGTTGAGATCCAGTGTTTAGTGTGTCAAAGCCTCTCTGATTTGAGGAGTTCACGAGATTGCACTTGTTAAATCCAGACTAACGGATACTTCGTAGCATCTCCAGAGCTGGAAAGGTGACTTTCTGCCAAGCCGAGTACGTAAAAGAAGCAGGTCTGAACGTCCCGCCTCCAGGAAACGCATCACTCGTCTCCACAATCTTTGATTCTGCAGAGCCGCTTCCTGTTGGAGAAAGAGCAAAACTTCAAACATGCTATTTAAAAAAAAAGGTCCACCTTTTGATTTAATTCAGATTTATAATTGGGAACTATAAGTACCAGCATTCAGAATGTGTTCCCCGTCCTTCTTATTCATCATTTATTAGCATCTTATATAGCGTAGCTAGCACTACTAAAACAGAAGTCTCCGTGATTTCTAGAAAATGTAGACCCTTCCCTTAATTATGTAATTTTCAAAATGCTATCAACATTTTGTATACAGAAAACGTCGGCTCTCTGCTTACGCAACCGAGGGTTTGAGAGCAAAACAAACTTTACTGAACAAAACGTTCTCCTTCATGCCTGTAGGTTTCTCCATGTCCTTACCTTCATCTCTACATGATCATAGCCCTCATAGCAGCTTTGCTGATGCGTTTGCGGTGTTTCCTTTTTCTACGGCGAGGAGAAGCGGGTCGGAACGGTACGTGACGAGCTGCCGTCGACGCGGGTACCACAGTGGACAACGCTGGAGGAGAAGACGCACAGAACAAAAAAAGACAAGATTAGGCAAATTGGGATGGTAATGGAAGAGGGTTGGTTGGTTTGGTTCATGTTGAACCATTTTTATGTTGGCTTGACCTTGTGTTAAAGCTGCTAAAAAGAATCCAGCAAATCTTTTTTTTTTTTTTTCTACTTTAATGTTAAGAGTCCATATGATTTTTATTTAAAATGTTTTGGGATTTTAAAGTGGCTCCCAGAGGCCACGGGAAGAGAAATGCGCCCAATCACACAGACGTACCTAAAAGGATTTTGGACCAGACTCAGTTGGAGTATCTTTGTCTGACCAAAGCGTATGGTTCCAGTTCAAGTCCCAGTACAACTTAACAAATCTTCCATGTTTCCACATGTCATAGTAAAACAAGAGTTTCTGACATGGCTTCCAAACAAGCTGTAGGCCTGTTATGAGTGTTATGACCTAAATTTACTACTTTTTGCCATGAACATTTGAAAATGTCTACCTCCTTGATGTCCCCTCTTTACTACTTTAATGGCTTGTATTGATTCAAGCATTCATTCTCTTCCAGCCCAGTGGCCAATTGCTAATAGAAATTGACGGACGTCGGTCGGACATGTTGGCACAAAAGTAAATTTTTATGACGTTTGTGTCCTCTGTGTCGCACAGAAACCTGCTCGGCAGGGAACGGTGTTCATACTGAATTGTTTCATATGCGACACCAAGCTGGGAAGGTCGACCGTCGTCGCCATCTTGTGGATGAAATGTTGCAGAATATTGAAGAGCGTCAGATGGAAGATGTTAGAAAATATAGAAAGTTGTAGAATGCATCATAGAGAGAATAAAGTGGAAGGAAAAAGCTCAGACACTGAGCAAGGTTGAGGCTTGAGACATAGCAGCTGAAATTTTGGGAAATGAAGGAATTTGTCATGAGAAGTTTTTACTCCTGACTATTAAATCTCAATGGTCAGTGCAGGGGGAAACCAAATGGCTCACAGGTACACAGCCTACGCCTGACTTTGTGAGAGCCACATTAGTTTTTAATGTGATATATTTTTTATCCCCACTGAGAAAAGGGACTCAAATTATTAAGGGCTAATGTTTTCCAAAACCTTTCTTGTGAAATTATTCGAATAAAAAAAAGGAAGTATTTATTTTAAGGCGTATTAAGTGGTTAACGGACTGAATTTATTTAGGGATTTTTCCAGTTGCACCGATCAATCAAAGCACGACACCAGAGCCACTTTCACCCATTCGCACACACACACACACGCACGCACGCACAGGAAAACACCGATAAACAGATCAGTAAGCCACTTGAGTTAAGTGAATTGCCCTAGGGCACATCAAAATCTGACAGGAGAAAAACTGGAACCAAACCTACAACTTTCAGATCACAAGACAACTTTTCCCACTGAGTCACAGTCGCCCGCCTGCTTTTACCAAGTGGGTTGATAAAGATGCAGGGTGGTGCAATCGGGCAACCATAAGCACAGAAACACACATTCATGGCAGGTTTTCAGTTAAAGAGAGCAGTAGCTAGCACAAACCTGAACGACAGGTTGGTTTAAGGGAAGCGACAGGAAGGATAAACACTGGGTTTGGAATTTGACCAACTGTGCCCCGAAGGGACCTGAACTCGGTTCATCAGAGACTGCTGCTACACAAATGTCTGAGCTCACGCTTCGACTGCAGAACACAGAACAAGTGAGGACAAATAGCTGGACACGTAGGTGTGCTGCTGTTTATTTTGGCATGTACAGATTGCTATTTCCTTCCAGATAAACATACTTAGTCACTCATGAGTTACACACTAAGATTGTAATCTTTGTTCTTCACATGTACAATGGCTGTGGAGAATAGGGGCAGATAATCTTCAGTATTTTTCACTGTTATGCCAGGCGATCTGATTGGGCAACACTGGCTGGAGTCATCATGTTCCTTTGGTGCTCAGACTTTTAGCTTCAGCTACTTTCTGTTTTGGTCATTTCTTTATTTGTTCTCTTATATCTTGTCATTCTAGTTTATTTCTTGTGTCACTTATTGGGTTTGAACTAGTAATTGTCATAATAAATGTAATATATTTAAGTTATTAAATGTGGCCATACATTGATACACATTCCCTAATCTGAATTCATCAGCTTACATTGGACAATACTTGTATGATACGTTTAAAAAAAACAAAACGTGAGAGTAATAAATGTGTATTTAATTGTAACTTGACGCGTTCAATAAAATAAATTTTAAAAAAAGCAGTCATATCACAACCGAAATAGTAAAAAAGTTAAACAGTCGGTAACCACCAGTGTGAAGCAGAGGCAATGGGCTAA